AAAAAAAAAAAAAACTAATGTTCTTCGCAGTCCTGGCCATAAAATGCTTGGGTTAGGGATGGGTGTGGAAGGGCCAGAGAACGGAAAGTATGTGCAGCAGCCCCTGCTCTGTGAATTGCCCCCCTAAATGCTTTTTAAAGGTGGACTTTATAAGAAAAAACAAAGTCTGCCCACGTTCCTCTCAGTCATCTGATTTTTCCCCTGCTTGGGTTTCATGGGACCTACTCACCGGTCTGCCTTTGCTCTGGAGCACTTACTTACTGGGAGAATTTTCATTTTCAAGGTTAAACATTCTCCCACATGCATTTTATTAAGAAAGTCACTACTGGATATTAATTTTAGAAGCTGTTGTACTAGTCAAAAGGCTACAGTATAATTCATGTTTAAAAGGGGGGTAACTAGGTAAGAGAGATGCAGAGAAGTGTGTGGACTCTCAGGATGTGACCTTTGATGCAGGGAGACAGGGCGGCTGATGTCAGCCCCATCTCTTTGACTGGTTGAAGCATCTCATTTGGGTCACTTCCCATCCAGAGGACCTGCAGTCCCCATATCCAGTACTCGACTCATCCATGCCCCAAGCTAGACTCCATGGAGTAACGGCTCAGAAAACTTTGAAGATAGTTCTCAAATGTCAAAATGGACCACAGGCAACAGCAATTTGGAGTGGCGTGTGACAACACAGGCATCCAACAGATGCACAACTAAAGCCTGGATGGTTGGACAAGGTGTTTTACTTCCCTAAGTCTCAGTTTCCTCATCTATAAAACAGATATAATAATACCATTTCATGGAGTTGCTAAACAAATTGAATATGTGGAGGATGATTAGCATAGTGCCTGGCGCCTCCTGTTAAGGTTTCAATAAGAGAAGGCTATTAGTCTTTTTTTTTTTTTTTTTGAGACAGAGTCTCACTATGTTGCCCTTGGTAGAGTGCTGTGGCATCACAGCTCACAGCAACCCAACTCTTGGGCTTAAGCTATTCTCTTGCCTCAGCCTCCCAAGTAGCTGGGACTACAGGTGCTCGCCGCAATGCCCAGTTATTTTATTTAGCAGGCCCAGGCCGGGTTCGAACCCACCACCCTTGGTGTATGTGGCTGGTGCCCTACTCACTGAGCTATGGGCACTGCCTGCGATGGCTATTAATTTTATTTCTACTTTTGTCCTAAAGCCCCCATGGTTACTTGGCACAACCTTTCTAGAATTCAGAAATGGTTACTGAATTCTAACAAAGTTTTTGAGTCTATTCCTCTGGTACTCTGGCTTGAATGGTAGCTGAATGTGAACATCGGCTTGAAGGTAGCTGGTATGCAGGATGTTGATTGTGCTAGTAGTCTGGCAGCCCCGCTGGTCCCCTATTATAGGGTCATCAGTCTGGAAGTCAGTCCCAGCACTGGAAGAGTCTGCATGCTGTGGTCTGTAGGGTCCACCAGCTGGGGGACCCAGGTAGAAAACCAAGAGCTGCGGCTGCAGGCCCATGTTGCTCCAGCAGGATCCTGCTCAGGTCTCACCCTGAGCCAGAGAACAGAGTTGCTGGGGAGAGGCCTCTCACCAAGATACACCCGAAGGAGAACTCCCTACCCAACCTAGCCAGTCCTTAGACCGGGAAAGAACATGTGACGGAGATGCAAAGAAAAGAAGAAATGAAAGTTACTTACTGGGAGTCCGGGTCTTCCAGTAGGACCCTGAAACAAAGGGGTGAGAGAATGAAGTTTCCATAGGTCAGGGTATTGTAATATCCAGCTATTCAACACTGCCCCAACCACTTGTGTGACCTTGGATAAGACACTTGTGCTGTATGAGCCTGTCATTGTATGGGCAAAATGAAGGAAGAGCCTTGGTCGCTGTGCTTCAGTTTTAGCATTCGTTCATTCATTCATTCATAAAACCAGTTACCAAGGGGGGAGGATCCTCCATGCCAGGCCTAGGGGTAGGTACAGGGAACAGAAAGAATGTCCCCTCTTACGACTTAAGGTTCACAGGACTGTAGGTCTCCCCAGTAAATCTCACTGAGCCTTTCTGCTTCACTTGGTGCAATATTCTGCCCCATCACATGTATGTGCCTAGGAAAGGGCTGGAGGCGGGTCAGGGCCTGGTCTTTCCTGTCTCACCACACAGGAGAAGCCAGATGCAGGGTAGAGCCCATTACTGGGATGCTCCTGCTAGATCTGCCATATCTCAGCCAATGGCACATAACCATGGAGCAGGGCGTGGGCCATCCCTGGGGGCCCTCTCTTTCTCTGTGGGGAGACAGCGGGACTTCCTTTGATGCCTTCAGCCTGCTTGAGAGCACCCTCTCCGGTGCTGGGTGTTGAGGCAGGAGGCTAGATCGCATCATATGTGGAGGCCTTCTGTTGCTCAAGGAACCTGCTTTCACAGACCACAGCTGTATGTTTCCCAAATCCTCTATTCCTAACTCTAGTACTCCTGCCTAGCACAATTCTGAGCATAGACTCAAAATTCCACATAATGGATCTGAAACTCCATTGATGAGGGAGAAACATTCCACAAAATATACTATTGATTCTAATAATTATGGGAGAAATACACATGGGAGACAACCTAACCTTGAGGTTAGGACCCAGGCAAACCTCAAGAAAGTCATGTCTTTTTGACACTGGAACTCAATTTTCAGATGATTCTAGTGTAAGAGGATGGCTGAGGAGACTCTCCTTTCCTTTTTGCTCTGACCATCAGGAAGCTCAAAGCCAAGTCTATGGCTCATCTGCACAGGATGTGGTGGTGTCATCAGCTCTGGATGTCCACCTCTCACCTCCCATTTCATTATGTAGTTTATAAGTCCCTCTAGAATGTTTCTTGGAATGAGGTGGGGTAGAAATAAGTGAAATTATACATTTATTAACAGAGACTCATAAAATAATATTTCATCCTTAAAACTAAAGGTTCGTAAGAACCTTTGGGTATCATCTAGGAAAGCCCTGTTTCTAGGATTATAGGAGTTAATATAGTTAAGTGGAAAAAATACATATATGCAACACATACATATTTTTATATATATATATATTTTTTCCTCATAATACCCAGATGAGACAGATAGTATTACTATTCTCATTTTACAGATGTGGAAACTGAGACACAGAGAGGTAAAGTAACTTGCAAAGGTCACACAGCCAGAAGTGACAGTGCCAGGATTTGAATACAGGTGCTCTAGCTCCAGAGCCTATATGTTCATCATCATGATATTATCTCCATGAAAACATAAGAGTGCCTAACACATAGTATTAGCTAGTATTTCAGCAAGGATCATATTTACTCAGGCCTGGCAGCTGTCATCAAATATTTCCCTATATTCCCTCAGTGAAGAGATATCCCTACTCCCCTCGGTCATCTGTTTCAGTCTCACAGTTCCTAGTATTAAGAAATTCTCCCTCACATCTAGCCCAGGGATGGCCAATGGATGTTAGCTGGAGCATGGACTCCAGCGGATTGGGAGTGACTGACAGAGTATGTTAAAAAGCCTCCTAATTGATTAGCAATGTCTGCCAAGGGAATGAGGGGTGGGGCAATGGTGGCCACAAATTTGCTTCCACTTAAATGGTTCCTGCTGCAGCTTTCATCCATCCTCTGAGGTTATGTTCTCAAAGACACTGGCTGGCCTTGTGCCCACAGGAACCTGGGTGTTCCAGCTGGAGGACAGAGCCAGCCCCTGAGGTATACCCAGAGGGCCGCAGACAGGCATCTCATTAGTCCTCACCTCTGGCCACCACCACTCTTCTTTTGCAGGAAGCAGAGAGAACAGGGATGAGGAGGTGATTCCCACCCTGGCCAGCTTCCCATTTCCTCCTCCTCCTGCCTGTGGTTTCAGCCAGTGCTGGGTGAAGAGTCAGGGCTCCCCTTCTGAGTTGGGCTCAGAAAGCAGGGAGAAATACCTGGGCAACTCTAACTCTGCAGGCAGAGACATTGAGCACAGACTCCCGTCCTCTCTCATGTGCACCTTCCCTGCAGACCCCAAGAGCAGCAGGGCCCACTCAGGCTGTGGGCAGTGCCTGGTCATGAGCTCTCAGAATGTTAAAGTTCTGTTGAGGGGGGACCCTCCCTCAGTCAGGGACAGAGAGCCCACTTGGCCAGGCAGGCCCCAGCATCCTGACCCTGGGGAGGCAGCATGTGCAGGAGGCAGAGCTGGGGGCTTGGGTGACTTCCTCAGAATAAGTCAGGGGGGAAGCTGCCATCTCCAGTGGGTGGCAGGTCCCTATTGTAGAGTTTACTTTGGAAGATGGATGACTGGAGTTGATCTCTGACATTCCAAACATGCCATGATAAATCACCCCTTCTCCTTTCAAGTAATGACATGATTTTCCTCTCACTGTGACTGATCAGACATAGGGCTCAGTGGGACCCTCAGCGTGGGTTCAAGGGCCTTCCAGGACACAGATGGAACACTGAATAATGGTCTTACTAAAAATTAGCCAGGCTGCTCTTGTAGGTACAGATCAAGAGGAAAACAACTATGGAAATGACTTCTCTAAGGAAGGCCTGGGGATAGGGTTGATTTCAGCAGCCTTGAGAAAGATCTGATGCAGAGGGCTAGGCCCTTTCAACTGCAATCCCCAGCTCCCCCAGCGCCCTCTGGTCTTTTGTTGGGATCAAATGCTGTCCTTCAGTGAACAGTGCTCCTGTTCCTGAGATCCATTACTTTGAGGAGACAGTCTCCTTGGACTCTTCTCAGGTTCTTTGGAAATGGCTCTGCTCCCTCTGCCCCACCCTGAGCCTGCCGGCTAGAAAGGACAGCAGCATACTGCCTAGAATTTATGTACTGTCTCCCAGTCTAACTGGCTGCAGCGCTCTCTTACATAACCACCACTACCACCACCATCACCGAAGTGACTCTGCCATGGAGTTGCCACATAGCAGTCCTCCAAAGCAGGTCACACGTGGAGCCAGCTCACTGACCTGTTTTCAGAATAGGAGGAGACCATTCAAGGAGCAGACCGGAGGAGAGAGGACCTCTTTCTTCTTTCTAATACCTGGGGCTTCTTTCACTCCAGTTGCTTCTTTGGGGGATAACAGAGCTGGGCTAACAAGGGGGCAAGCCAACCTTTAGATTGAAAGTTGGGGACTGCTTGCCTGGAGGGATGCGGAGGTGGTGACAGCAGAACGGGGGCCTCCTCCCCGTGTGAGCATTCTAGAGGGACCTTGCAGAAGGGACTGCATAGGGCCCCCCAGAAGACAACAGGGGCCAACTGTCAGTGCTCCCACCCGGAACCCTGTTACCGGCAGGCGACATAGGCCTTTCAGATGCATGAGATGGAGCTGTGGCTTGAGTACTTACAGGAGGTCCTGAAAGAGAGAGAGAAAATGCCCGGGTCAGTGTCACTGCTGTAGGGGGCAGTGGAGAGGCCGCCTTAGAAGCAGCATCCAAGAATTCTTGGGGGAGGAGGGGGTGTTCCATCTGGTCTCTGAAGTGTGTATTTTCCTGGCCCACTTTCACTACACTAACATAATCTCTTCCCCCTTTATTTCATCTCCATATTTTCATTATTGGATGAGAAATCCAGAGTCTGGCCCCAGGCTTAGCCCTGCCGGGGACCTAAAGGTGGTGCTCCCCCCTTCAATTTCTCACCCCACAAAATGGGCTTTTCAGGACCTGCCCAAACTTGTGTATAAAGTTGCCTGGCAGAACACGGGGTGGTGGGCACCAAATCACAGCAAGAAAGGCCAAAAAAACAGACCCTGAAGAGATTAGGATCATTAGCGTGCCGGCTGTCCTTGCCAAGTGTCCCATGGAATACACGGGAAGCCAGCAGGCAGGAGCGGACGGAGGCAGCCCCTCCCGGGTGCCCTGACTGATGTCTATCGGGCCTGTCCTGGTTTCCATGAAGCGTGAGTCAGGCCCTCCGGCCCTCCAGGGTCTGCCGCCCACTGCTTGGTTCTCAGCGCCCACCTCTCTCCACGCCCCTCCTTCTCTCTCTTCCTAGTGTGTCACCCCCTCCCCTCCCCTGGGCCTCAGCAGCAGCCCTATCCTATTACTGGCAGCCAAGAATTAGGAATTCAAGTGTACTGAGGAGGAGGGAGCAAAAGGGGGTGGGGGCTGGGGGAGGGAAGGGCCAGCAAAGTAACCCCGAAAGATCTGAAGGGAAAGGTGCTCCCCCGGAACGTGAGCTGCAGAAGGCCGCGGAGTCTCATTCGGGCCTGGTGTGTGTGCCTGGCCCCTGGAGCTCTGGCCACGCTAACTCAGCTGTGACGCCGGCTCCCGTTGCTTCTTTTATGCTGGGCCAATGCAGCCTCCTTAGGTTCCCCCGGCTCCTCACGCTCCCAAAGCCGGCTCCCTGCTCGCCTTCATCTGCCTGCTTCTCTGCCCTGGTCCCCATCCAGGAGGAAATGGGCTCTTTCATGCTGGCCTCTGTCAAGCCATCATGTTAGGGGGGACAAGATGTTTTAAATTAAAAACAACAAAAAAAGTCAAGCGATGCATTGACTGGGTGAGCAAGCCCCAGGCAGGCGGCAGGCCTACACGCAGGCTTCTAGAACATGCGGGGGTGGGAGCATCTGGGACCTGTTAGGCTGAGGGGCAGGGAATGTCACCCAGAATCTGAAAATATCCCCTGAGTGCAGCTTGCCAGAGGGGCCAGCCCAGCTGGAAAGTCCGTGTCTCCCGGTGGGGAAGTGTCCTCGGCATGAGAAGCAGGCTGGTGACAAAGTTTAGCCCATGGCAATTTTTGAATGGTTTGGCCACATGGAGGGCAGATGCCCTGTGCCTGCTGGACCTGATAGGGTCCTGGCTCCCACCAGGCTCTGGCAGTGGCCCTGCCTGTCCTTAGCAGCCTCGACTGTGTAGGTGTCACCCAATGTGACTCGGCACTCAGCCAGGTCCCAGGAGCTCAGTCAGCAGGGTCCACCTCTGAGTGATGGAAATCCCACTCAAGGTGTTGAGAGTTTTTACATCACCACCACTATCATCATCACTATACACCCCTCTGTGGTCCTTACTCAGTGCCAGACACAATTCTAAGTATTTTCCATCATGAAGTAGGTTCTATTGTCCCCAACCTGCAGCTTGAGGCAGAGAAAGGCTGAGTGACCCCCGAGGTCTAGCTAGTTGATGGGAGTGCTCACAGCCTTCCCTACAATGCCTCTCTCTATGTTTCCCACTCCCAAACAACCCACCGCCCCCACACATATCACATGCAGACCAAGTCCTCTCCAAGCCTTTCCCTGGGACAGCTGTGACAGTCAGCCTTTGGCCCCAGCCCCCTTCTCCAGACTCAACCCTCTCATCTTTCTTTCATGGGCTCCTTTATGTGAGGGAATTTGGCTCTGCCAAGCTCCTCCAGGTCACCACTCCCTGCACCTGTCGCTCACAGGGGTTTCAGCAACAGGTAACGCCTCTATTTGTCAGCTGATTCTGTGCTGTAGGTAGGGGAAGAGCTATAAGGGAGTTATAAAAAATGGCTTTCTCTACCCCAAACATTCCTCCACTATCAGTGGTGCTCCTCACAGGTCCCCCTGGAAAATCTTTAGGCCCTTAGGAAAATGCAACCACCATCCTGGCCTCCCCAGCTTTCATTTTATGAACAGGTCTATGGTGGGAGACCCTACACTTCAAAGCAGGTACCTCCCTTGATGCTATGCTCAATGCCCAGCAGCTCTAAGGCCCTGGGGAGTGTGTAGCCTTGCAAAATCTAATGGTGCCTGCATGTCACTGGCTGGTCTCCCATGTGGGCCACTTGGTTATGCTCAGTAATGTGACTATTGACTGACTCATCATCACCCTGGCCAGGCACCAAAGGATAGAGTTACCCAAGGCATTGTCAAGTGCCCATTACAGATGGAGAAAGAGAAGGCTAGGGAATGGCTGAAGCGTCACCTTGTAGGTGGGTGAGGAGGTAGGACCAGAACCCAGGCTCCTGACTCCCTGTTCAGGAGTCTTACTAACAAAGCACACCTTTTCTTATGGCCTGTGGAGTGGATCCTGCTGAGGGACAGCCCACACTGCCACATTTACCCAAGCACCTGCTGCTGGCCTTGAGATTAGAAGATTGTCCCAGTTATCCAGGGTGGGCTGAGTGGGTTGCAGCAGGGTGCCCAGGGAAGGGGCCACAGTGGCCACCCAGGGTAGGGACCTGTCTGAGACCTTCCTTCTGACATTTGTCACCTACTATCTCAGCTTCCAAACCCCTATTGTTCTCCCCCAGGGTTTGACCCACCTCTTCTGAGTAAGGCAGCTATGTTCTCCCTAAATGGACATGCAAGGTGGACCCCTGCATGTGAAGAATATGGGAGTAGCATTCTGGGTCGTGCCTTTCTTTCAACCACTGTATATTAATTAATTCATTCACTCAACCAACATTTAACAAACACCTACTGTGTGTCAGTCCCTGTGCTGAGCTATGGCTATCAACAGATGAATGACGCACAGTCATTGGTCTTTAAGGAAAGAAAACTTCATTTTTTAGGCACTCATTATCTACCAGGCCTGATGCTAAGCTTTGGTGATTTCAGAGATGAAGAATTCTTTTCCTCCCACAGAGAAGTCAAGAGTTCCCCATGTTAGAAAGCTGGAGAAATTCATAGAAGAAAACAAAAATGAATATGGGGATGTGATGGAGAAAGTTTTGCTGTAGGAAGATTAATTAATCAACTCATTCATTCATTCGGTCAGTATTGACTGTGATGAGGCAGGTAAAAGGCTGAGTATGTAACTACAACGTCGCATTTAATCTTTATCAGTTAGCATCACCTGAGGCTTAGAGGTTAAGCAACCTGTCTAAGGTAGTCACCCTGTTCTTACGTGACAGCACTTGTTTTTTGCAAGTTTTTTAGTTTCATTTTTGAGCATTAATTTCCATATAAAACAGCCTGGATTTGAACCTGGTCTCTCTTACCCCAAAGCCTATACTCTCCTGGCTCATCATGAAGGGCAGAAGGAGTGTCTTGGTCTTAGTGTAGGCAGGTGAGTCCAACCTCTCCTCAACGGGCTTGGCCCTACCCAGTCTCTGAGTCCAGTACAGGCAGCCCTGGGCACAAGGAGTAAAGAGTCACAGGGTGCTCCCAAGTTCAATGTCATATGAGCTGTCTCCTGGGCTATTAGCAGCTGGGCTCTGGGCTCCTAGCAGCTGGGGTCCTATCCCTGACGCATGTCTCCTGGTACTTGTGCCAGCCTGCCTGCAGCTGACCACCTGCCACTTGGCTCTGCCATGTGCCCGGCCCACCCATCAATGCTAGGACAGATGCTCTGCATCCTGAGCTCTCCCGGACATGGGGTGACTAACAGTACTGCTGCTGGAGCAGGGGTTCTCAACTGGGGGTGGCTTTGTCCCCCAGGGGACAGTTGGCAATATGTGGAGACATTTGTGACTTCATAGCTGAGAGGCGGCTACCCATCTCTAGTGGGTATGGCCAAGGAGACTGCTAACTAGACAATGCACAGAGGCCCCTAAAAAAAGACTGACCTTGCCCCAAGTGTCAATAGTGCTGAGGGTAAGAAACCCTGTGTGGATGAATGGGACCAGACCTGCCTCAGGGCTCTCCCTGTCCCCACAACTCACACCCAAACCCACACCCCTCTGCCAACTTTTGGAACCCATTCTTCTGTTCCACCTCTACCCAAGACCTTGTTAGGACAAATAACTATTTATTTATTGGACATTTATTCTGTGCTTGACACCATGCTACGAACTTTGCATTCTTTATTTCACTCAGTCCACCTAAGAATCCAGTGAATTAGCTACAATGGTTATTATTCCCTCTCTACAGATGGAAGAGCTGAGGTCCAGAGGGTAGTGTTCAAGGCTTGCAGAGCTCATGCAGGCAGAGCTGGTGCCTAAGCCCAGGTCTGCCTGTCTCCTGGCACCACAGACCCCTGAAGCTCAAAGTAGAAATAAAAGAAATGACCTCTGCCTCAAGGAACAGTGATGAAGGGAAACATTAGGAGCTTCAAAAACTACAGAGATTTGTTAGTGGCAGGCAGGATGGCCTGTTAGGGAAATGAAATGAGCTTCAAGGCAGTCTCTGTCCTTTGAGGTTAATATAAAAGAGAACAAGGAAGCCCTGTCTCTTATAGCCCTGGGGCCCAAACCCTGGCCTTATAGGGAAGGCCAAGGGCAGATTTCTGGGGTAGATCTTCGCTTTGATGGCCCGGGAGCTTGTCTGACAAATCATGCTTTTTGACTGACAAAGTGCTTATATCATAGCTCACCACGACCCAAGGTCTACTTTCTGGATGAGGAAACTGAGGCTAAGAGAAGGGATGTAACTTGCCTGTGGTTAATGTCTGGTAAGTGATCCTGAATCTGAGTCTAGTGCTCCTCCCAAAACAGCCCACCCACCATTGGCAGAGC